ATATATTTCCAGCTTCGAAGGTGAAATTATCATACTTGGACAGACTAGCTGGGGCGTTTCAGAAAAAGCGTTCCTGAGAAACGCAAGTCAACAGGAAGTAGACGTTTTGCATTCTTAGACACTTTTGCTTAAATTAAGAGTTAATCCCTCCCTATAAGAGTAACGACAATAGTAATACAACTTTAGAAGGGTCAAGGCATATAAGAAAGGGAAAAGCCACAGTTCCGGTTGACGTCCGTCACTCAAGACCGCCTTTGCATGGTTAAGGGGTGGATGCCAACCCCCATAAGTTTTTTCTGAGTGTTTTTCAAGAGGATAAAACTTCAGTACCTGACGTTTTTAGTAGCTGTTCGTTTATCCCTCTCACACAATTTGAAACAAGTTTAGCAGTGGTCAGTTGCTATGGTTACAAGCTATGACGTCATAAGTAGCGGGTCAGTCAAGTCAATTTTAGGGTGAAAATATATGTTTTTTCAACTTCTTTCAACAATAAAAGCAAATTTTGTTGCTAAAATCATGCAAAGTGCTTATTTATCAGTTATTTATCATGTAAAGCACAAAAAAATCGCCATTTCTCGCGGTTTAAGTCTGATTTCCAATTCTCGATAAAATCCAAGGTGGCGGCCAAGATGGTGACCATTGTTGGCGTTGTCACAGGCCCCCAGCAGCGCCACCACCCATAAAATATACCTCGTCTTGTTAAGAAGATCAAAGGCTTTCCACTGAAGGTAAAATCGTTTCACATACTGCAACATATCAAAAACTCCGGGGAGGGGTTCCATCCACACCGCCCTCTCCCCCTTGTACCACGGTGGGTGTATGAATTTGCGTGTATGTCCGGGGGTTAGGCTTTTAGCGGAGCTCACGCGCGCAAAGCGCGCGTCAGCGGAGCACTATGGGTAAGTAAGTCTACCTATCCCAGAAAATTTGGTAATCACGTGACCGTACACCGACCGCCGACCATCGACCGTTCGTCCGCACCACAGGCATACCCATGTAAAATAACTCAATCAACAGGTATGGCAACCCAAACGCAACTCGAGGTTATTTTGGCTGGAAATCGCATAGCCACCCGCGTCTTGTAAAGCAGAGACAACTAAAGCTCAATAAAGACGGAAACGGAAAGCGGAAATTGTTTCTGTATCCGTGTTGTCTAAAGTATTAAGCTTAGATTAATTGTCATGTCCACAAATTTGGAATATAGAGCAAGACAAAAGACAAAGAAAGAGAGAAAGTAGGCGGCAGGCCAGCGAAGCTCAACCATAAAAAGGGCGACAGGGATCTAGAGCAAAGGGGAAAAAATAACAAAGGAGACATTTTTTTTTGGAAGGACAAGGTGAAAATGTTGTAGCGGCGATGACAACATGAGAAATTCTAGCGGCCATCAATTCAAGGTGAAAATGAGCGGCAGTGAAAAAAAAAAAGTGAACGAGAACACGTACGACATTTCCTCCAAAGAAGTTTCTGGAAGTTTCTCGTTGTAGTGGTGCTATTTAGACCTATTGTTGTTTTTCACCGTTCTCCCGCGTTGTCTTCACGCTTAGCATAACACGATTTTATATTTTGTTTGAACAAACTTTTAATATTATCGAGAGCTTCGCTTTTAGCCCTAGCTAAATCTATAAACTAACTAACTCCTTTGAACACCGAAAAGTCACATGCAACTTTCATCTTGTAACTTAATAATGACAATTGTGTTGCAGTTGCATTTCAGCCAAGGGGTTACTTCAAATTAACAAAAATCTGGACAGAATTTTTTCACTCAATACAAGAACACAAAACGTTTGAAAACAGTGTCCTGTACTAGCGGAATGCCACACTCAGTGTGCACAAATCTAACCCATCTCAACAAAACTCCGCTTTCAAACAGCAAGTCTAATTTTTGAAAACAGACGAACTGAAAAAGCTTGCCGGTTATCCTAGATAAGTAAGGGGAGTTTTCCTTGTCCAAACGTTTTCGTCGACAATCGGACGTTCAAAATACGTGTCGGGGCTTTTTGAACTACGATCTCTATTGATCTAGCGATACAACATAACGCTAACGGAGGTAGTCACCATTATTTGCGTTACGCTTGGTCATATCTGCTTTTAGGAATAATATTTCAGATTTCTTTGTCGTTGTTGTTTTTATACTATTGACAGAGCTTGAAATTTCCTTAAAGGCTTGTTCTCTTTCTAGACCATTACCAAACATTATTTCCAGGTTAATTTAACTCTTTGCCTTCCGCAAGGATTTGAAGTAAATTGACCATGTAATTTTAAAAAATTATATCTCTGCTGTTATTGACAGTTCCATACAAAGCTATACCTCAATGGAAAGGGCAAAAAATACCCTTTTAGAAAAAAAATATATTTTGGTCTAAATAAATTTGTAGATACGAAACGGGCGTTTCTTGGCTATAACAGTATCCTTTTTTAAATGTGCCAAATCCGACTTTTCCAAAGGGTTTAACCCATGATTTTACTCAAAAATTTAAAATTTGCTATTTTTATATTTTAGGGCAGGAGCCTATTACACATCGGCTCCTGTTTAGGGCTAACTTTGTAATTCTCAGGCAAGTTAAGGCATGGGTTGAAAAGCTAAAAAGAAAATGCAAAGATCTTTGCTAATGACGCAGAAGGATCCAAATAAAGGGTTCCGCAAAGATATGACAAGATATATCTCACTTAAATAGCTTTGGAAAATTCATCCCAAGCATCACGTGACATTCCTTGGATCATGACGTCACAAAACCTGTTTTCTGAAACTGGGCAAGGTTGTTAAACTTCAGCTTAAAAATACTTGTCATCAAATTGTCAGCCGAGCATTTTTATTAAGAGTTATTAAAGTCTTTTATAGGTCACGTGACCTGTTTTTCAACCTATTTTCTTTATTTCGTAATCCTTGCTCCACTTAGGCATACATGCAGGGCTATTTCATAATATCCAGGCCATGGGAAAAATACTGGTGCGTAAGAATATTTGCTGCTCTTTCATTGCCTTTCCCCCGTTTTAATTTGAACATTTTGACCGTTAACGGTTATTTGCGGATCACGTGACTAATATTTCAACAATGAATATGTCACATATTGTTGAGACCATCGAGCTGAAACTGTTTGCCAAGTTTCATTACGACTGATCAAAACAATCCATTTCAAATGCCACTTCACCAAATTATGCAAATTATGAGTGACCCATGCCTTTTAAGACATGGGTCACTCATAAAACATGCCTGAGTGTGGTCCCTCCAAGAAATGTTTAGTACTCTTCGAAAGGTTCTACTATAGGCATCATCATTTTACGTATGTAGAAGAACATAATTATAGATAACCTTTTTTTGCCGAAAAAACGCGATCCAAAAGCACGCATAGAATTAGGTTTGGGACACCTAAATCTCGGTTTTTTCATAATAAATGTTACTCCTATGTGACGAAAGAAAAAAACAATACCGGCATGTCAACTATAAAGTAACTAACTGGATAGTACGCGCCCTCCGATTTAGGCGAGAGGCGTGTTTGCATGAGAATATGTGTAAACTTATTTTTCACTTTGATTGGTTTCCTTTGTTCTTTTTTGGGGAATATATTACATATTATTCTGCAAAGTTGGTGTCAGCTTTGATAGTAACAGGGGAGTGAGGGGCTGAAACAACAGCTGATAACAATAACACACCCGTCCTAGTAAAAACAACAGAAGTAAGTATTTTGAATTTGGATCACTGCACGAAAAATTTTATTTACACCAAATTTACTAAGTGCAAATTTTGTGCAAAAAAGTGCAAACTAAGGTTAAATAAAGGACAAAGATGGTTAATACCGCATTTGCCCTCAAATTTACAACCCCATGTAAACTCTCAAACAAATGCGGCATTTACCATCTTTGCTTTTGATTTCCTCCTTGTTTGCTCTTTTTTGCAACATATTTGCACCGAGTAATTTTGAGTAAATCCAATTTTTCGTGCAGTGGATGTTACGAACTTACCACATTTTCTTGGACTTGTTTCTCTTCGTCGACAGTTGTCAAAGTCCAATTCCAGTGTCCTTTAAGCTAGAAATTTGCATTACCGGCCGCGTCACTTTAAAACAAATTTGCTTGACATCTCAAACTTCTACCTGCGAACATCATTGGACGACTGACACAAAAATCTGTCGCGGTGGAAGATCCAAAAGAGTTTTCAAAACTGTTCTGCCTTAACGTTAAGAAAACTTTTTCCTCTGAGCTACTCATCCCTTTCTGCTAAAACTACTGTTTGACTACTTCACATAAATTGACCAATTTCCTTAATTTAGAATTCAACCTCAAACAATTCGAGGCTCTTGGGATTAAGGATCTCTAGAGAACTAATTTAAAAGTCTTTCAAGAGCTTTTTGCTTTAGGAAACCTCGCAAGTGAAAATATGCATGTTATCTCCCTGTCCCTCGGAGGTATGTGATATATTCACCTAGTATATATCACATATCCCTCGTTCCCGGTTAGCTAGTAATAACCAAAGGTTAGGGAGCGCGGGCGACAACGATCGAAGGTCAAAACGCTTTCGCTCCAGCGCTATGTTTTGCGCACGTCTCACGTGATAATAGGTCAAAACACGCGTGATCAGATTACGAGTGACAGAACGTCCAAACGCGCGTGATCAAATTGCGCTCTGCGTATTCCATACATTCTTAGTGGAAGTCCAAACGAATGCCGGCTACATACATGCGACGCATGCGTAATGACAACTTGGAGATTAGGATTGCGGGCTCCTCTTGTCGCCAGCAATAACCCTTACATGCATGCCTTGCGCGCGCTCATTACGCAAGTACGAACTTGAAAAAGTGTTCGAGTTCAAAACTAGTTCCAAACGTTTACTTTATTTATCTCTTTCATTGTCAGCTGAAATGTGGAAAATCGTTACAAACATGTTGTGTTATATTAGGCTATGTAAACACAATTGCTTAATTGTCATTCGGTTTGGTTTACTGCTGGATCTTTCCAGTGAACGATTAAGAAATGTCTCTTACTATTTATTTCCTACAGAAGTAGTGGGGAGAAGTTGATAAAATATCAAGCAAATTCATCTTGTGTGATCATGTCCGTAATTCTCATGACCACTCTGTTTTACAAAGTATTGATATTACAAGGAGAAATTTGATGCTGATCACTCTTGGGGCTTCAAGGGTTAAAAGCTTTGATTAGCGTAAGACGAAAAGTGTAGCCACTTTTTCGGCGAAATATAGTGACAGTTGGGAATGTTATAGTCGTCGATACAGCAAGCAAATTGATTTGCGTTGAAAATTCCACGGGGCAAGAGCATGCAGTTCTCTTGTAAAAGAATGAAGAGTAGACATTAACCAATGCATTAATCTTCTTCTGGGTTTGGCGATGAATAGCCAAAGATCTGTATAAGAGAGAAAAAAATAAGAAAGCCTTGAATTGTGATGATAACGACATTAAAACAGCTTCATCATGCCATAGCCACAACAGGAGAAGGGTCACTGGGAAGTGTGCAATGAGGTTTTAGTTAGGACCGATGAAGAGATTGGTATTATTACTTTTAATACCGCTCTTCTGCTTTTGTCGCATAATGTATTAGTACTATGATTAAAAGGAATTTTCATTGGCCATCCAACAAGTTTTTCCACGTTCCACTCTGCTGTATTGAATGACTTTTTGCCTTTTTCTTTCTATTCCTCATAACTCTAAGTCTGCTACACAGCCGTTTTCAGTGTCGTCACGCAACGCTCCTCCCTACTAATTGGGAGGAGCGTGGCGTGACGACACTAAAAACGGCTGTGTAGCTGACTACATAACTCTCAGACCAATTCAATCTTCAACGAAACTGACCTTTTTTTCTTCCAAGAAAAGATCTTCACCAGAATAGCCCATATCTCGATCTTCAGTTGTTGTTGTAGAATCTGGTCCCATGTCCATGGTTATTGTTTGAACCTCGTAACCAGGGACTGTTGCATTCGCGTTAGCGTCTTGTTGTTGCTGGGGTTGGATGTCTACCATCATCGTTGTTTGGGACGGTGACAATGGGGGTGCAGATGAGCTGTAACAGGCACCAAATTGAAATATCTTATACTACTACATGGGAAATTTCTGCAATTTGATTGGCTTAGAGCAGTGGTATTTCAGCTTAATTTGGGATACCTACATGTGAAAATTACAAACCTTTTGTGGGTAGTAGTATAAACAAATAATAGCATGATTTGTACGTGATATTTGGCATAAATACCAGTCGTGATATTTCAAAGTTGTCTCAAATTTCACTCGCCCAACGGCTCGTGAAATTACGCATAACAATTTCGAAATATATCACTCGTGGTATTTATGCCAAATATCACTACAAATCAGGCTATTACCTATACAAAATTGATCACAGCATAAACAAAGGGGCGTCATCCGTGGGGTAATCACTAGATCACTAGTTTTCTGGCCTAAGAAAACAACTGACATACTGTTACGCAATCAGTGGTTTCCCCGCGAAATGACTTCTGAGGGACGAGGCAGAAATTCCATGTTAACGTTAGAGAGATTAAGATTCACGTTTACGCCAAACGGCAGACGTGAATTTGTACCACGTGACCAATTTTTCCCTTATTTTCCGTTTACTTTTTATTGCTTCTACTCGCAAATAAGTAGTTTTATGACAGTATTAACCATAGGAATCGTTGGGGACTGTTTTTATCTGCTTAATTTCTATTCTGAGAAATTCTCAACTTGAGTCTGACCTGTGCCGTTTGCGGTAAACGTGCATCTTCATCTCTCTCTACTGATGATGTGTCACAACACTGAGTACTGCTTCTGATTGGTCGTACCGGGAGGAAAATGTACTTTTATAAGCAATCAGAAGCACTTCCCACATCTACAATCTTCGACAACAATGTTGAGAAAAACATACATTACCACGTGTACTTTAAGACGAGTAATTGCCTGCCCCTCTGTTTCCAAGTTTGCTTCGCGAAAAAGTTTGAGTATGTTGAAAGCGCACAAAACCAGGCGGACTTCAACATTGTTTTTTTGGGGGAAAGGGGAGTAGTTGTAGTTTTCAGTACGTTCAAGAGCTTTATCTTGAAGGCGTTTTTGGTCAACACAATACTGATTGCATCCACTGGCCCGAAAAAAGTGGCCACTGTAAAGAGATGGCCATTAGCGAAGATTGCTGTAGGACTAGCTCAGTCGGTAAAGTACTTGACTGCAGGGGAGGTCGCAGGCTGGATTCCCGGGACCGGACTGAACTTGAGTGTCTTAAGACAAACTGAGAAGTGAAAGCACAGAATAAGGCGGGGGGGGGTATAGGCAAAAATGTTATTCTTGCTGTTATAATTACTTACTGTAAAGGCAGCATAGCGAACATCAAGGAACCGATCAGCAACCCAACGAAAACCGCCACTGGTATAGCTGTTTACACAGTAAGAGACGAAACACTAATTACATCAGTTATCGTTTACAACTTAGGCCCAGGGGAAGGTCGAACTTCACAAGCGACAAAGTTAATTTTAATGAACAAAATAAAGTGGCCAGGATCATTAGCAATTATCTCTTGTGTAGGTGGTTGCCAGGGATGGGCTAAAAACAAACTCCAGTTTAAAAATATATTAATAATAATAAATAAAAGCGCGACGTAGCAAATATAGATGTAACACAGTGAAAGTTGTAGACTCTTGAAAAGTAAGGATTGTTACTTTTGACATTTTACAAAAGATATTCCCCAACACAAGCAAACAAAACAAAACGAAACAAACAAACAAACAAATCATCTTTAGAAGTCAGGCTTGGAGCTTACAAAAGCAAAGCTACTGACCTGCTAAACCCGTATCCGAAAGAGGATCGCTAGTCAAAGGAGCATTGGCTATTCTCTCTAGCAACGATTTCTGGTGTACAGCATTTCCTAGAAACATTAAAATAAAATTATGAAAAGAAGTACATCTAGTGCGTCGTACTTAACCCTTTCGTTTCGATAACTGATTTTATCCTTGCTTTAGCAATCTAAGATTGGGGGTCCAAGATGGTCGCCATTCAAACTGATGACGTAATATAACCGTAAACTACTGACTTTTTCGACTATGAAAAATACAATGAAATTTTTTTCTCTGCTTATGTTGAAATCTTCCAAGTTTAGACTATCGGTAAGTTCTGTACACGATAGCGAAGAACGTAGGTCACTCGACATCCCTGCAACATTCTAGCGTTTTTATTCTCAACATCAAAAAAATCATCAGTTTTGCTAACTTTATTGTTGTCGTTATCAATGTCATTTATTATTTTTATTATGATGATTATTACTATTGTAAATTATTTTTATTACTGCTATTAATATCATAATTATCATTGAGTTATAAAAGTTCAAGAGCTAAAGCCTTACATACAACTAAAAAGTGTTAAAAGAATTGCTGGTAGAGCAATACTAATAAAAATAATTTTGCAGTGAGCCACGAGCCGCAGGCGAGTGGTTCAACTTGAGTTTTGAACATTTTGACGTCATTTCTATGGTAGATAAGAGAACAGACGATGGAAAATTGATATCGATTTGATAAATAACAATAAGTTAAAAACAAACAGAAATAGCATCACAAAAATATCACCAACCTTCGTCACAACCATACAAGGCAATACGCATACAAGCGTATGGAGGGGTGAAGTTGACAGGATGTATCCGGATAAAATGTGCGTTTGTCCCCTCCAGAGAGTTGTTCACACCTTGAATATTCCTGTTGGCGTTAAACTGAGGAGGCAACATCGAAATAATGTTTACAATAGAGTCTTTGAGCATGGCGTCACATTAACCACATCAAGCAAGCCATACGAGAATAATAAAACTCTTTTGTGTTACAACAATAATCGTATTCCAGCATAAAGCAGCATGATAAATTTTGGCGTGAATTTAAAGGCTTTAGCAAATAATAAATAAAGTAAGTAAAAATTGCAATTATAGTTAATCATAGTTAGTGTACTGTCCATTTTTTGTCAACAGCTGGTTTATCCATATAATGTATAAATAAATAAATATAATAATAATAATAATAATAATAATAATAATAATAATAAAATAACGTACATAAATTATAATTATAGTGACGGATTTCTTAGAGAGTACTAATCAAATACCCACTTCTATTACAAATTAACTTTATATTTTTCTTTACGTCTGGAATGTTCCTTCTTTACCCTTTTTTCGACGAAAACAATTAACGCGTTAACGTAGTGATATTTACCATAACAACATTTCCGTCCTCCATGTAATCTATAAACGTCTCCGACTCTGAACTGTTGCTGGTAGATACATAGTATTTTTCTACCCACAGTGCTTCTCCACCGTCGTCATCTACCCCCTCAGTTTCAATCATGGTTACGTTCGTTAGGTATTCTATAATATTCAGGTGACATAATTAGTAATAATAATAATAATATTAAAAATAATAATTTTTATTAATAATGATAATAATTTTTTTATTAATTACTAGATTAAAACACATATCTAATATTACAAGGTGGATAAGAGGAAAGCCATTCACCGAGGGTGATCCCTCAATACAGGTTCGACCGTATTTACATTTTTATGATTACTTTTCGTTTGTTTCTTTTCTTTCGTTTGCATAGTTTCAAATGGTTAGGTCTTAAATATAAGACGAATTGCCATGTCAAGCGCCCAGTGCATTAAATGCAACAAGGGATTTAGAAGAAACGCAATATGGCCTAAGTAAAATATGCATCTTACAGTGGTGACAGAGTTCATTTCGCCTTCGTTGAGCTAGAGTATAGGTACTCATTTTTTTTACAACTTTTGCATATTAAACAGAAATGAATAACATACAAACAAAATGAAATAATGATTAATTGAAAAACGATCACTTACCAAAGAAAACCTGAATGTAGGGCGTCTCGTCTGTGCCTGAAGAGCACCAACCATCTTGCCATGAACCAATAGCCTCGATGCCAACCCTACCACGAAAAGCTGCATGGTTTGAATCCCTTTGAGAAGATGATGTAATGTATTTGTCTGGAATTCGGCGCTCGTTGTTCACTTTAACACCAAGCTCTCTGAAACCACAACCTTGCAAAAACGAACAAACAAGAAGACTTTGAGGGAAACTTGTGCCATGTTCATAATTTTGATAAGTTCGACAAAGAATTGGGAAGATCGCATCCATGGAGAAGGTTTCAAAACTTTGTCCTCCTCCTCGTCATCATTATTTTCAACATCATCATCATCATCATCATCACTTATGTTGTCGACGTTGTTGTTGTCGTCGCCGTCGTCGTCATCTTCATCAACATTATCATTTTCATCATCATCATCATCATCATCATCATCATCATCATCATTATCATCATCATCATCATTATATTTTTCATCATCTTCATCGTCAGCATTATATTCATCATCATCATCATCATCATCATCGTAATCATCATCACTGACGTTGTCGTCGTAGTCGTCATCGTCATCATCATTCACACTAATTTCCTTATTTAAGTGCAAATTTTATTCAAAATTTACTACACATTGATGGCTTAAGAGGCTTGACCAAAACACAAGGAATACAACAACAATAACAACAACCAAAACCTACCGTGCTCACACTGCCTTCCATAGTATCCACGCGTACATTCGCAGCGGTAGTTATTACCAGTGTTGACGCAGAAGCCGCCATTAGAACATGGTGCGGAGTTGCAAGCTTGCTGGTCTTGTACTGAAAGGAATGTAGACAGAAAAACAAGTGTCATAATAAATTTAAGTATGTATTTTAACGGTGTTAACCATCCATGCAACGTTTGGTAACGTACATGTACACCCAACTCCAAAACGTCCACGTATCGATACAATACGCGAGAAAAAAGGGGTTAAAACGGCTGCAAAAGGAGGCAAACGCCTCACGAGTTAAGCCATCCTGTTCAGAAACACAGAATGACAATATCTCACCACGCAAGGCTAACTTATACGATACTGAAGCATTCGCAAAGCATCAACGCACACATACTAAAGGCTTAAATCATAAATCTTTGATCATATTTTTTTACGCTGATGATAATTGTCTTAAATAAGTGGTCGTTTTATTGTCCTACAAACCCAACTGCCGTCACTTACTTTCGCAAATTTTCCTTTTCAAAAGGGTGCCAACATCAGCAAGCCTGTCGACAGAAGTTTGGTAAATTCGTGTACCATTGCCTCCGGTGACATAGTTTAATTCTTCATTGTCGTTGTTATTTCCAATTCCCACAGCAAAGACAGTAATATTGTCATCACGCACTAGAGCTGCCGGGGTCTTCAGCAAGTCATATGAAGACCCGGTGGTCAGATAAACGAGATAATTTGGAACAGCTCTCTGATGGACAGGATCCGAGAACAGATAACGCCGGATGTATGTCATCGCTTTTCCTGTTTGTCGTCCTTGGTTCAGGTAAGTAGCATTATATACAGCTTCTACAGCAATTGATGAGACGCTACCGCGATTGAAGTCAAACGCCGTGCTCGGGTCGTCCGAGAAAACAACCAGTCCAACGTGTGTTTCGTTTGGTGTTACAGAGAAAGACTCAATAAAGCTTGCAATGAAGTCAAGAGTCTTGTTAAAGTTGTCGTCGCCAGACAGTTCTACAGCTGCAGAGGCATCTACCAAGAAGCCAAGATTCATGGCGTGGTGGTCGCAATCTGAAATTTAAAGTATTTATGAAAATATATACGTACACTCCTTATTTTCATCATCAACTTTCCGCAAGAATTTTCACAAGTAGTATTTTAGCCCCGGCCTAACATGTATTCTCGAGGACCTATTGTGCGCTTTAATGCCGAGACTTTCTTCATCTATAGCCTGCGTGGAAGGCCATAAGTCCACATCCTCTGCCCCCTCAAAACCTAAACCTGCCACAGAAGCTACAAATCTCCTGCCATCGTATATAGTATATTGTGATATACTGAAAACCTTGGTCTGAATGTCTCAACATTATTTTCTCATGGACACGCGTAGGACCATCGGCGTTCTATGAAACGCATCTACATCTCACCTATTGAACAGCGGCTGAAAATACATTCTGATGGAACAACACCATCGCTGGCCTTTTGAGGTCTAGCATGTCACATCCGATTTTCAAGCGTGGTAAAGAAAGGTAACAAGTAAAGACAACAATTTGAATGACTAACTTACGCATCTCACAGTTGAGTCCAGCTGAATATATTGGGCAGTTACAATAGAAGCTTCCATTTGTATTTGTACAATTTCCTCCATTTTGGCAACGATTTTCAAGACACTCGTTTATATCTAGAAACGATGAGAGAAAACACGTTGGTGTTTTTCTCTTATGGTCCCCAATGCCGTTGGCTAACCGACAGCATTAGGCATTCAGGGGACGGGGGAGGGGGGGAAGGGGGGCGTTACCAGCACCTAAGTACGCACGTGCTTAGCTGAAATAATGTCGACGTGGACACAAACAAGATAGAGGTTGTCCCCCCACGCAATCTTTCGTTTTCATAAAGGAGATTGAGATCAATGGTGTTACGTAAGGTATATCAAAAAGGAAAACTTAAAAGGCAATTGCCGTTATTTCTATTTTTTAGGAAACGTTTGTAGAACTATTGACAAGTGAAGGCCTCGGCGTCCACTTTTAATTTGCCTTTTCATACTTATTCACTACTATTTTAATAGGGATACTGTCATAGCAACGTGAAGAAATATTCAACAAGGAAGTGAAACTTTGGAAAACACTGGTATGTCTATCAAAATGTAGCAGTATTTTACGAGCAAAACAATGTTATACAAGGTGACTGAAAAAATGGTCAGCTATTTGTTTTTAATTGCGAAAACCCATTTCCCCGGCACTGGTCATGATTGGCTCGAGCAACTGCAGTCACCCATGTCTTACCATTTTCACATTGAGTTCCATTCCACCCTGTACTGCAGTTGCATATTGTGCTTTGATCTTGCATTACTGTGCAGTTACCGTGATTATTGCAGGGGTCCGGAGAGGCAGTACAAGGTGTAGCCACTAAGCATAAAAGAAGTTGTTATTAGGTAACATCAATAAAAATGTATAGGATCATACCTATTTAGAAAGTCATTGACAGGAAAGTGGAAAAAAAAAAAACAGAACAAAACAAAAAAAAGTCCATAACAGGCCATGCACAGTGGCATAGTAGGAACTGGTGTTACTGATCTGGAAGCCAGTCGCAGTGGATATCAGCCTACGTTTAAGTCAGCAGTATTAGTGAATATAAAAATTGTGTGCCTTTTTGAGTGAAGAAGGTATAAATTGGAAAAAGGGAACCGCATCCATTATCATGGGAAACTGCCTGAAAGGTTAGGATTTCCAATTACACTACATTAAGACACAGTTATGTTTCCATTACTTCCAGTACTTACGTGTTTCACAATTTGCTCCTGTCCACATAGAAGTGCATGAACAAATGTAACTTTCTCCTGGGAGAGGGAAACAGATTCCACCATTCTGACAAGGGTTAACAGAGCATGGCTCCGACACTGTGTTAAACAGAAAGCAAAGCATATGGCAGAGAATTTAGTTAAATGTGAAGTTACACATCACACAATTGTTTAACATTTTAAAAAGCGCTTTTCGGGTACTCACGTGGCCAGCATCTATACAAATTTACTGGAACAAAAGAAAGCATTTTCATATGACAGAAGTTCCATTTCCACAGGATTGGTTTGGAATACTAATATGGCCGCCGTTCCATTGTTTAGGAACACCAATTTGGCCGCCCCGACGTCATGTGAAAACGCTCTATATTTTCCGCTACGTATTGGTAGGGTAAAAACATTTCACTGAATGGCGCACGGGGGAATTCACACGAATACCAAACGCAGGTTCCTTTAAGTATGGGCGGTTTAAGCTAGCAATTACCTTTGACAATTGAATCTTTGAGAATTCCCATAATTGTACCAAGTTCACTATATGAGGTAACCGTAAACACGTTATCTGAGTGTGGCGCAGAAGCCATTTCATTAAGCTGTCCACGTACATACTGACCAATGCCAACACTGATTACAAAGATACCGCTAGCTCTTAAGGCATGCGCCGATGCTGCAACAGCATCATCCGAACTTCCATCTGTAAGTACGACTAAAACGTTGTTGATTTGTCCGGAAGTGGACTGATTAAACAGATCCGTCTGGGCCAAGAGCAATGCCCTTGCTATGTTACGTCCACTTCCGCTTATCGTTATGGCGTCTAGAGAGCTCTCTAAGGCAGCCTGAGATAAAATGTCTCCAAATCTCAGCCTGACGCTTGCTCCACTAGAATAGGTAATTATGCCAATGTTTGTTTTGGTGCTGGAGATGTTAAATGTTTTCCCAATTCCTTTGACCAATGCTAGTTCCTTTGCAAAGTTTCCTTTCTGGTATTCATCGATGCTCATTCCATTGTATATTAAAAAGCCAATGTTGTAGCTGCCAGAGTAAACTAAAAAACAACACCATACAAAAATCGTTGTGTGCATGATGACTGGAACAGTTCAACAGTACTGCTGAGACTTGAAACTCATATAAAATTGATAAACTATGACAGCTATATGCAAAGTATTTGGGTTTCCATTTTTTAGAAGTGGAACATGAAAGAGTACCTGAATGATGTAAGACAAAAATAAGGATAGCTGTTGAGACAAGCAACACTTAAATAAAAGCTTCAAAGATTTTTGCGCAATTTCTGTTCTTAACTCAGCAGCAATAGAAATAGAACCTGACGCATAGCATAATTATAAGCCATTTTTGTAAAGACTTCTTGCGAAAGATTAGAAGAGAATATTCTAGAAATCTTTACCTCCAGTGCATGAATTTTGAATAAGAAAATTTCCCGCCATGCAATTGCAGAAGGAAGTTCCAGGAAAGTTGACACATATTTCCCTTGGAGTGTCGCATTGGTCATTTGAGCATTCATTTAAATCTAAAGAAAAAAAGGCAATTGACAGATCAGAAGTCAAGATTAAGTTGTTGAGGAGCCTATACCTGAACAAAAAATGAATACTAAGGGAAGAGTACATGTATAAGTGTCAATCAAACTAGACGGTATTTGCGTAATTCCCGAAAATATATATCCGTATCACTCGCCAATTGTTTTTGGCGTAAAAGGAAATTGCAACGGCATTTTTGACGGAGATATTCTTTCCAGGGGATACCAAACCAGGTCGGAAAATTACGGAAATTTCAGGGGGTGCAAGGGGGAGTATGACAAGCACCCACTGGAATGGAAATTTCAAGGGGATGGGGGTATGAAATAAAAGTGCCCTCCGTGGGTAGGGAAACTACACATTGCATGTTCTGTTTAACCTCATTACTTGCAGAATGTATGATTGAAGATAAGCGTGTATTGAAAAACGTGAAAGAAAACACTGTAAACTATACTACTCGCCTATTTGGCAGTCCTGCCCTGTGAAACCAGATTGGCATCCACAGATGTAACTATCCGTCAAACTCTGGCAAGTACCTCCGTTGTAACATGGGTTGCTATAGCAGTGGTCAACCTCTGAAAAAGTAACAAAAAAAATTCAAGTTTTTTTATATATTCAATCCTGCTTTTCTATATAATCTCTGCCGACGAGGATTACAGGCAACTAGGCAATAACCAGTCACAAGGCTTCTAAACTTCAGAATTGAAACGCAAAATAACGCTGCCTTTGGGCGCGTACCATTAACCTTTGAAGACCCAACAATGACCAAAATCAATTCTTTCTTGAAAATATAAAAAAAATAAAACGAAAAGAAAAAGTTATAAGAATTAATAAATTGACCACCAAAGGGATATTAACAAAATCTCGCAACTTTTTCTTTAAGGAAATGTTTCTAGTACAGTCTGAGAATTGCAGAGGGAATCTGGGGGCTAAAAGGGTCTAGAAAGTGTTTTACTTTCTACTTTTGCTTTCTAAGTTTAGTTCTGCTAAAATCAATTGTATGAAATCAAGGGACTTTTAATATCCAATGAAAACTTTAAGCGTGGCTCTAGAGTAAAGTTCCAAGATTTGATTGCGACTTATTACGAAGCTTGAAGTGTCCCGATTTCCCGAAGCGATGCCTTTTATACTCTTAACAAGGTATTGCCTTTGTCAATTACCATTTATGTTCTGCTTGTAGACAGAGAAGGTTTTGGATTAATTAATGATGTTAATAGGAGGTACTCACTACTTACCAGTACAAATGAAATTTTTAAGTTGTGTAGCAACCTCTGGCAAGTTATCAAAATCAGACTCTTCTAATACATAAGTTGACTCGGGATCAGATGATGTCACATCCAACTGTTCTTTGGCGTAAAACTCGCCAACACCCACAGAAAACATGACAACATTCATTGCCTTGAGAAATGCAGATGGAAGCGAAATTTCGTCAATTGAAACTCCATCGATCATTGTGACTAGGATGTTCGGTATTCCCCTACGAGCAGAGGGGAATATTTCATTTCGAACATTCGTCAAACCATTCCCGATCCTGGTGTCCTTTCCTGGGAACACGATTCCATCAATGGTCGAGTTGATGACGGATTTACTGTAATATCTATCCAGTCTAAATTCTGTGGAGGCATTGGAGGAATACACTGCGACAGCGACATTGGTCTTATCTGGGCTGACTTCGTAGAAATCTACGACTGTCTTGAGTATGCCTTTGTATTTAGCTTCCGACGCTGAATTCAGATTTTTTATGCTTGCTGACCCGTCGATCAGAAAGGCCAGGTTAAATACCTGGTGAGTGCACACTGAAAGACAAAATGGGTAAAATTGCTTTAACGGTGATGTACTACATTCTAAACAGAAGTTTCAAGGATCTCTCCTAATCCCCAGGAAAAATACTGTAACCAGGAAGAAACACTTTCGTTTTAACACAAGATAAACTCTATGACTAACAGACGAGTGCTGATATGATGCAGGAATCCACGTAGAGAAAACAAAACAAGCGAAATTCTCTTTAAAGTGGTGCACTAGGTTGTACGACGTTAAAATGCCTAATTTCACGTTTTGTGGTGGACGTGAACATATGACAACGACTTCCTTTTTCTTTTCCTGAACTTTGATAGAGTCTTTTAGAATTCAGCTCCAGAAAAAATTGCCAACATTTGACAAATTAAACGAGATGGAATAAGCTTGATGAAGTTTGAAGCAGCGCGAAGTCACTTTTTAAGTGACGCTTTCGTAGCCGTCGCCGTCGTTTCGCTTAAGCGCCCTACTGAAAAAAGGAAGAAACCCTTTCGTTAAAACACATGATAAGCATACATGGCATGAACGATAGTAGAATTACCTGAGCCACAGTTTGTTCCCAGGAATCCATGTGGGCACAAGCAGTAATAACTTCCAAGAGTATTTTTACATTTTCCGTTGTTTTGACAGGGGTCAGAATCGCATTCGTTAATGTCTATAAGGTTAACAGAGCAAACAAATGAAAATAAGCGACGTGAAATAAAATAAATATATAAATCCATAACATTATGCTCACCCTCGCTCAACCTCTAGAACCAAGTTGGTCCTCGTATTAAGTATGAATAAATCATTTCATAAAAAGGTGGAAATCTGTTCAGGAGGAAGGAAAAGAACTACGTCCCCAAAGATAAACGGATTCGAATCCATGGCCTCTCCGTTAGCGCGGCAGTGCTCTGTCAATTGAGCTATGAAGACCAATACATTGAGGGCAGGCCAATTTGTTGAGTTCATCTTAACCCGGGAAAGGTAGGAAACATAGAATGAAGATGATACCAACTGCGGAAATACAAAAATTGTTAAAGCACCGAAATTTTTTTCGGGCTAATTTGTAATTGCTTAAATTTAAATTACTACTGCGACGATCAAATTTGTGTATCCGCAGTTCATATCATCTTCATTCTACAGTTAACATTGCTGAAATATTTCAAGTGTTCACGGTTATCTCGGTTTGACTGTAGCGCTAATACTTTTATGCCGTTCTAGCGAACTAGCCCACGTCGGCTTACCATCTTGACATTTTCCTAGCTGATAAAAACCCAGGTCTGCAATTGCAAGAATAGGAGCTGCCAGATGGAATACACTGACCTTCATTTTCACAGGGATTAGGAAGACACTGTGAAAGTGCTGAGGAAAACAAATGAAGGTGTTAGCTCTAAGACGTACTAGCCCATCTATGATAGCACATACAACATACATATATACATTTAAGGGTACGACGTCACTTGAGACGCTTCATGCCATGGCTTGTAAGGAGATTACTATTAAATTGCAAGACATTTTGTAATGACCCTTTTTTTTTATAAGCAATCTCCTCATGAATTCGTTTGCGAACTTTGCGAACCGTTTACACTAGAAACAAAAGCTGGCTCGGCTGGACAAGTGCCCGCCAAATCAGGTTACCCTTTTTTCGACGACAGGGTCGTCGTTAAGGCAAAGAGGGTCACCCTGTTTCCTGAGACGATTTTTTCCCACATAAACGTTGCCTTACCTAGGTCGCAAGTCTTTCCTGTGTACCCTGCCATGCAATGGCATCTAAAGCTGCTGCCTTGTACGGAACAAGTAGCGTTGTTATGACAGGGTGATGAAGAACATGGCTCGATGACTGTGGGGAAAAAATACAATAGTTCAAATATATCTCTCGATATTATGCCTGCAGTTGTGTTTACGGGTGGTCGAGGTGTTACGCCTCATAATAAGAAGTCGGATCACAGGATGTAGACGAGTTTGGTTATGAAAGAAGGCAAACATCAAATATGAGTAAATATGAAAACAACAGTGCTGCAGTTTATGTTAGAGGTATCCTGGCGGTGTGCAGCCCCTTTTACGTCAAAAATTGTGACGGAATAAATGAATGTTACGCTTTTATTGGTCAGTTAAACTAAAGGTGATCAATTAATCCAGAATAAATTGCTGCAGTTTAACGACAATCTCACCATTTGCAATGGATGCCCTCATTGTCTGCACAAACGAAGACAGATCTATAGCTCCATAGCCCACAGCTGTGTAGAATTGTGAAGACGGCTGGGATGAAATCTCCTTCAGTTGCCCCTCACTCAACTGGTTACCATTTCCAACGCCAAAAACATGAAAACCGCTACTTCTGTAGATTTGTGAGACTTCATCTATGCCATCACTGGAGCGTCCCCCTTGTAACACAACGAGAACTTTGGGTACTCCCGGACGACCAGATGAATCCAGTACCTGGGATTTACAATATACTAGAGCGCTTCCGGTATTCCGATTGATCTGATTGGGAAATATCACACTGGCGATTGTCATGTTTGTAGTGGTAAGAGGAAAAGCATTGGTAAGGTTGAACACTGTTTCCGCCTCTTTCAGCGTAAACAACAAGGCCAAAGTGAGTGATGGTATCGTTGAACACCTTTGCCAAGTTTTTAACGAAACGAAGACTGCTTCTGAAGTTGTCATGAGTAACAGACGCAGTGCCATCCACCAGAAAAAGAAGGTCAAATGCGCTATTAAAAACTAAAAGAAAGAAAAAGCTTTTAGACATGGTGCGATTGTCACCAAATTTAAACTATTCTTCATTCAGAAGTCGACTCCTTGCATTTCGAAGATTGAATTCGACGAGGGGGTTACCAAAAATTAGATTTATTAACGGCTCACTCAAGATCGATCACAGAAAGTGCTAAGACACGAAGCATGCGTCATTGTTGAAAAAAAAAATTAAAATAGAACAGACTGTCTAACCATCCTCAGATGCTGTCAAGTAAGGGCAGCGGCCAAATTCCCATAATTATTTAACGGTCTTGAGGTGTTTTTCTGTCTGGAAATCAAGCCCACACTGGTCGTTTCAAAGTCTGGTAATAACCTACCAAGTGTGCTTACCTGTGGGGGAGGAGGGGTAATTATAATGTAACAGCACATTCATTAGCGTTTAGCTTACCACTTGTGCAGCTGTTCCCGTAAAATCCTATGGGACAAATGCAGTCACGTGACCCAATGCTTCCAATGCAGATTTGCCCTGACTGGCAAGTATTGTTTGTGTTGCACTGGTCAACGACTGAAAAAAAAAATAATAATAGTGGTAGTAGTGATTACAGCATAATAACAAACACAATTGTCACCTCTTCCTTCTATTCAATGAAATTGATTTAAGGTTGATTTGCAATTCTTCACTGCTACAAAACATTGATTTTGACAGGGAGATCTAGAGGTCGAGTCTCCCACATTTTATGACCATGAATTAAAAAGAAAGGTTTTTATTAACTGGAGCTGCAACCTAGTACTTGATTTTTTGTAATTTGACTAGGGGACGCTGAGTTTCCAGCTAACATAAAAAATAAGTAAAGCTTCAAACAAATAAACAAACCTTCTTCGCAGTTCGTTCCACTGAAGTCTTCGCCACAGTCGCATTCATAATGATTTAAGAAGCTGGTGCAAGTTCTATTGTTTCTACACGGGCTACTAAAGCAATGATCGACAGCTGAAAAAAAAAACAAAATAACAGAAAAGGACAGAAGCGATATTAGCAAAGCCTGTTCTGCTATTATGATAACGATTAAAAAGAAGATTTATGAATAAACCGATACTTCGTGAAAAAGTCAGTGAAGACATTATAGTACAGATAAATCTAGCAGGGAAGAGGTTTAAGAGAAGAATTGTAGGCCAGGATTTTCAGTGACCAGGACCATTGTTTTCAGTGACAAAGAGGACCAATGTTTCATGAAAACTCCACACACAGAAGTGAAGGAAATGGTCGTACTTCTGAGTACTTTCAACCTTCTTTTTCCCGGTTATGATCAGTAAAGTACCCCTTGGTTTCTCAGATTGTAATAATTAATAATAATCCGATATTTTTCTCATTTATAAAAATACTCAAAAGCGCATTACAATATTTTTCCAAATTAAAAACCTAAAATTGTAAAAGTCAAGTAAAAATAAATATAAAAAATTAACTAAAAGCCTTCTTAAATAAAAGTTTTTGGAAGTGAAGGAAGATGTAGTCTAGTTACTTCTGAGTACTGAGGTCAACCTCCTTTTACGGTTATGATCAGTAAAGTACAGCCCCTTTCGTTTCTACAGATTGTTGAATGCAATGTTATTACCTTCGCAGATCATTTCATGAATCCTCCAGCTAAGACCGTCCAAATCGTCAAATCTGACCTGAAGTAAATGTTTCGAATGGGGTTCGCTCGCCATGTGTCTTACTTGCTTCATATCGAACCAGTATCCCAAAGCGACTACAATAATGGTCATGTTCAAATCGTCGCGTAGTGTTTTTGAATAGCGCTCTACAGCATCAGTCGACGTCCCGTCGGTGAAAACTACAAGAACACGTCGGGCGTTCGGTCGAATGTCCTGCGACAAGGACTGGTTTACAAAGTTCAGGGCATTACCAGAAACCGTCCACCCTGACGGATAAGGCAAGCTTTCTAGAATCGCCTTCCTTTCGGCTGCAGAATTGGTGAAGTTAATTTTAAGTTCCGCTGTTGTCGCATAAAGTACCAGGCCAATTCTTGATAGAGTTCTATTCCAGGAATTTACAACCCGTCTCGTTACGTTTACTATTTTTTCAAAGTTGTTTTCGCCCCACTGGTTGAGACTTGCAGAGCCCTCGAGCATGAAGACTAGGTCGATTAAGTCTTCCTTACAAACTGAAATACACAAACATAAGAAACATCAGTTTTGTAAATAATCATCTAGAGCTGAGTTCCGTCAAATAAATTATGGGACAAAGAGTGACATGGGTGGTAATTTTTTTCAAACTTTTTTTTTGCTATCTTCTTTTGTTTATTCACTTGTTTTGTTTTGCTGGTTTGTTTGTTTATCTTGCTTTGTTTTTGTTATTGTCCTTTTTTCTTTCATTTCTGAATCTCTTATACTACTTGACCAGATTCAGAGGGATGATCTACCACTCACACTTTGAAATTAAAATCCGATGGTGTTACCTTCTACAGTAATTCTGCTTTTGGAATACCGGAGTAACGTTTGCAAATAGCTACCTTTCTCGTAGGATTTTTGCAAAAAAATTATTTGGAATTTTGGATAAATTTCTTGGAATTGGCCGCATTCAGTAGTAAAAGGTCTTACCTCGATCGCAGTTTTTACCAGCAAATCCTTCCTTACAAGAGCAGGAATAGTCTCCTTCTATTTCCTGACAAACTGCGTCGTTTTTGCAAACAACCATGCTACACTCACGCTTATCTGAAACATGCATAAATTTACATCAATTTGTATCATTGCTGAGAAATAGGAAATGATACTTGGACCAAACGTCAAACTTTTCGTGAGACGAACCAAACTTGGTGAGTTAAGTTCATGAAAAGTTCGACTTCGGGCTCAGTTAAGTTCGTCCGGATGAGTTTGGATCGTCCAACACGTTCTATCCGTCTGCGTTAGACGGATAGAACGTCTGAAGATCGTCTCCGAGACAAACGTTGATATTCACATACGATGAACTAAACTAATAAATTAAAGACTTGTATGAAAATCTACATTAAGTCAGTTGTTTGGTCACTTCGACGTCTGACCCAACAGACGATCTTAACTTAATTTAGGTCGACCCAAATTAGAGTTTGGTTCTTCTCATGAAAAGTTCGACGTTTGGCCTAGGCCTAGGAGAAATTATGAGTTATCAACGACTTTCTAAAGGGAATATGAATTCAAAGTACTATAGTACGGAATGGTTACTCCCTTTTTTGAAGTTTGAATGGGTTAAATGAACGTCGATGACGTCTTTATCTCTTGAAAAATGTGGTGGAATCTCGTTAAGATAACGTCGCAATCACTTTTCATCTAGCCATTAATAAGGAGACAAAATGGTACCTACTATACTACTTATAAATAGCTACTTGTTAATATGGTTTGACGTTTATCTTAATGCTATCTTTTAAAAAAGAGTAGAAAGAGCAATTCACCCAATCTTGAGTGCTGCCTTCTATAACGAGTCCAACTTCACCTTATAAAGTAAATTGTTATACACGACTTTTTCTTTTTTGGGGGGAGGGAGAGTGGGTGTGACTTGATGACCTTCAATGTTCACCATGTTCATATTATGGCAAAGCAAAGATCATTAAAAAGAATTGTGTTCAGCCACCATTAATGGTGTACCAGCTGATAATTTTATTTTTCGATTGATTTTTCATGTCGATTTGCATTCTCAATGTAAAAGGCAAAAACTGACGCTCTAAAAAGAATAGCTTTACCTTGTGAGCAATTGGTGCCAGTCCAACTTTCCGAGCAGATGCAGTAGTATGAATTCAAAGGCAGGACAACACACGTTGCGCCGTTGTAACATGGTGTGGGATTGCACGGGTCGTTTGCTAGGGAGGTATAAAGTTCAAATATTACCCTTAGTATTATTTAAGGGCATAGATAATTGCAACAAGCTGTTGACGTAAAACCAAAATACACAAACACCAATTTCTGTTTATCCTTAAGACATATTCTGGTAAACTTCGAACACAGTCGATTGCCAAGGATAAGATATAGAGCGTCATGATTGACAAAATGTCAAACAATTTGACCAAGAATGAAAATAGTTTAGTACACTTTAATTATTTGTATAACTCTGAATTTTCCACGAAAAGGTTTCCAAGGAACACTCATTTTCAGTGATAGCTGTCTGATTAATACTTGCATGAATACAAGGGCAGTCCATTTTGCGCTACTTTGCAAGCCAAGCAATATATTTGTTAAGCAACTTTCTTCCAAATCATAAAATGTATTTTCAAAAGTTCACCTAACGGAAGTTAAAACAAATTATGAAGAAAAAAATCGCATTTGAATATTTACTAAACTATAAAAAGAGTCAAGAACACGCCTTTTAAAGAAATTTAAAAGAAACAACTAGTTAGCTAGTTCGACATTGTTTTTCCTTAGTGACTAAAAGATCAGTAACCGCGCATGGGTCTCTGGAACTACTTACCCTTCTCGCAATTAATTCCCGAAAATCCTGAAGAGCAGTTACAGCTGTAACCTTCTCTTCGTCTAAGGCAGGCACCTCTGTTCTGGCAAGGTCTATCAGAACAAGGATCAAGGGCTAACAAGAAAGAAAAGTTATTTACCATATGTATTCAAATGGTGAGGAATTTTGTTTCCGCTGATAGAACAATGGACGCTTCATTAGATGAGATACCTAAATCATGTATTACATTTATCAACCATTCAGAGAAACCCTTCTTGGATCTGCGTGATTAGTGCACAGGGATTAAAATCGAAACATCAGTCCGATATCGCTCAGAATTCTAATGAGCTTAACTTGAATGGTGCTTGAAGCCTTGTGGCATGCAGTGTGACTTGTTTATGTAATCCTTACAACCACAACGAAACAATTTTTAGTCTTTAAATTATGGATCCATATATTCGTTTTAGCTTAATGCTTAACTAAGTCTTACATTTTCCAAGCATTGCTTTAAACGTGGAAAACTGGAAAGGTAGATCATTTCCCGAACTGAGAGAAAGCACGTGGTAACTGTCAGGGTCAGAGGCAACTTCATTCAGTTGTCCCAAGCTGACTCGAACACCAACTCCAATACTAAAGACACTGACGTTCTGATTCCTAAGCAGGTTGAACGAAGGCACCTCTGTATCATCCTGTGCTGTAGTTGCAGTCAAAATAACTAACACTCTTGTAGCATTGAAACGGGCTTCATTTGAACTGAAAACAGAGGCAACAGCCAACAGACCAGCTCCCATGTTGGTTTGAAGGTAGGCCTTATATGGTATGTGATCAAGGGCCTCCTCCAAAGCAGATTGGTTTAGGTTATCATTGAAATTGATCTTGATTTCTGCTACATCGCCAAACAATACTAGAGCAACGTGAGTTTCTTCCCGAGATACATTCAAGGTCTCAGAAACGCCTCGGACAAAGTACAAGAAATTTGTAAAGTTGTCTTGCGTCACAAGCAGTGAAGAATCGAGGAGGAACACCAAGTCTAGTCTGGTATCGAGATCTAAGACGAAAAAAGAAAGAAACAAAGATGGAAATCAAAGGGAGAGAGAGGAAAAAAGAAATCAGAATCCCCTGAAACTTATTCAGAAAAATAAAAGATGACTAAATTGATTCTCTGCCATACTCTGTAACAGGAAGCATAGGAACATATTATTTGCATACTTCAAACTTTATTTCCCGCATCTGCCAACAGTATCGTGATCCAACGTTTTACTCTTCCACCGACATGTACATAAAATTACATTTATAACTCTACAGATCAGCTTCTGTATTGCTAGGTTGAATCATTTTTATTATTTTCATTACCTTTCTTTTACCCTATTTCGAATAGCGATTTTTGCTTAATATAGAACTAACCATAGATGATCGCATCAAATTAAGAACATGCAAAAACCCCTTAAAATAATTGTATTAAAATAGTAAATATCATAAAGAAAGCATTATCATATATTGTGGCACTGAAATTTAAGGTCGCTGTTTTAGCAATTTTATGGTCTGAACTGTGAATATGGGTAACAGTAACATGTCCGTTCTTACAATATTGACACGCCGATCCATAGCGATTTCCAGGGCAAACGCATTCCGCACTCCCCCATGTATTAATACAGGTTGTGCCATTGGTGCAATTTGGTCGGTTAGCTTCAAGACATTCATTCAGATCTGAAAGAGAACGTCAAAGAACTCTATAGACATATGAACCAATAGGGATATAAAGTGTTCGATAATATGGAAGTGGGGAAAACATAATAAGATCTCTGACTAGTAATTTTCCTTCACATTGTCCATATCGTCATGTATTTGACAGACTGTTGTTACTGGTGTGCGGTCCTATTAAACCTATGGTTTTCATTGTAATTGGATTGGTCAGCTGACACACTTGATTTCAGGTTTTTTGGTCTGTTTGTAAGCAGTCCCAGTATTTTTTTGTTTTGCTTCGTTGCTGTTGTTGTTGTTGTTATTGATTTCCTTCGTTGATGCTCTCCAAAATTCTGTAGTACTTAAATTTATCTGGAGAAGCGTATAACCTGATGATATAAAGCTTTAAACAGTATTAATTTTACTCCGTATTGTGGAGAGAAAATTCTGAACTTTAGACTCTGCTGTAGCATTGTTCACAGTTGGTTTAACATGTCACGTGACAGGTTCCATAACACTTACCCACAACACATGTGAGTCCTAGGCAACCCACAGGGCAGGCACAGGTGAAGTTATTCGGTGTGCTCGTGCACGTTCCACCAAACCGACAAGGAAATTTGGAGCACAAATCAACAGCTGAGAAATAAAAAGATGTTACTTTAGAGAAAGAAGAAAAGAACTTGTATCCTCTCACTTCCAATTCCCTTTCCTGGCAAGAAAGAAGGATTTATAGCTCAAGACACTACTATTTGTTTCTACGCCTATGCTTGGCAACAAATAGTACGTGTAACCATCCCCTCCGCTTGCAGGGGATGGATATATTTAATTCAATGTAGATCCATAAAGAGACAGCTCTAACTGGTGCACAGATCTAGATAATCGCAAATATTTTTTTATTTATGATTTTTGTCGCAATAATGATAATGATGATGACGATGACAGTGACGGTGCTGAAGATGATAATGATGATGATGATGATGATGATGATGATGATGATGATGATTGGAATGAGAGTGGAGATTGTAAAATATCTGGCAAGAATAACAAAAAAATAGCATAATGATAGCTATAGTACCGCTAATTAGATAAATCTCTTACCTTGAGCAATTGCTCCGCTTACAACCCCTGACATCGTGGGAATGTGCAAAAAGGGGAAAACCACTACGAAATCTTCCGCTGGGTTGGTGGCTATCGATACCAGTTGACTGTCTACAACATCTTCACCAATACCAACCGTGATTATTTTAACTCCTTGGTCTCGAAGTGTCTGACACACTGGACAATTTCCACTCAAGGCGGTGGTTACGAAAACCACTATCACGACTGTGACGTTCTCTCGGCTGGACGAAATGATGGTTCTGTTGACGGTTTCCATAGCCAACGAAAGGTTTGCGGGTAACTGGTCGAGGTATGGAATTAGATCAATTGCGGAAGATACAGCTGCGTAGCTGAAATACTGTGTGAAGTTGAAGTGGATGGTGGTGTTGTATGCGTAGACTGCAGCGGCCACGTTTGTGTTCTCTCGAGAAATGTTGTAAGGTGACAGGACGTCCTTTGCGAGAGACAAGGTTTGCAGGAACCGAGCAATTCCCAAGGAGGAAGAACCGTCCAAAAGAAGAACAACGTCAAATCTATTTTTCAGGATACCTAAGGAATAAATACCCAAAACCTATGAGGAACTGAGAATCGGAAGTTTAATTGATTTATATAGTGGAATAGCCTACCTATCTGGCAAAATCTCCCGGTATAGCCTTGGTTACAGTTGCATTCATAACTGCCATCTGTATTCGAGCATCCAAGAGCATCATTGATGCAAGGACTGTTTTGACATTCATCGACATCTGAAAAGTGTTCGAGTGAAGTAAGTAACAATTTCGTAGATAAGCCTGTTTACAATGTTTTCAATACAAATACTCTTGTTGTCGTATACCGAGCTATCTGAAGGGAGATCTACTTTACTGTCCAAATTGATTAACGATTTGTCCTACTATTGGGGCATCTTATAATTACTTGTTCTTTCAGAATGGAATTGTATAGCGTACTTAAGACTGTTTGCGAGCTGGTCCACTTTCTGCGTAAAGATGCTTTTTTCGTAAAAAGTTGAAATGACCAAAAAAACAAAACATTACAGTAAAGCTTTGGAGGCCAATAGCTTAATCTATTGTCCAGAACAAACGTAAGTTATATTCTTCTTAGCTTTCACTCAGCGTTCTGGTTCTGTTGTCAAACACGGGTGGGGAAAACAGACATATCGTTTGGTTCTACCTATTTCACAAGTTGTTCCCTTCCAACCAGCGGGGCATTCGCAATGGAAATTCAGCAGATCGTCCAAAACATGACACGTGCCTCCATTCTGACAAGGGTGGGGTTGACAAGGATCTGCAACTAAAGTAAAGGTGACGTACGAGACATTAATAGCGCATCACTTCGGTTTTACGTTTACAAGGTTTCACTACTATCTATTCATCAACTTGGCGATTTAACAACAATAACAACAACACCCTCTTCTATTCTGGACGTAGATGGGGTATAACATTTGTAAAACTCTTGGTAGCTCCGACATGTCAGAATTTCGCTTCCTTTGGGTTGAGATGAGTAGGAGCTCCAATCCCTAAAGAAACACCCATAACCCACCTCCACCAAGGGACATTTTGCACTTACCCCTACAATTGTTTTCAATGATGGATCCAACAACATCATGGATTGAACTAAAATTTGCTGTGAACACGTTTTGGTTGTCTGGATCCGTAGCCATATTTGCCAGCTGTGTATAAACCACATCTCCGATCCCTACGGACATGATGTGGACTTTCATTGCACGAAGACTGCTTGAAGGAGTTTCAACGCTATCCTGGGACTGCCCATCAGTAATTACAATCAAAATCTTCGGAATTCCATTTCTAGATTGTGAGAACAGTTCAGTTCGTATGCGATTTAAGCCATTCCCCGTATAAGTATCGCCAGCATCATAAGGGATTCTCTGCACGGCCTTCACAATTTCTGAGGTGTTTGAGTAGGATGAGAAGTTGATATGTAGTTGGAACTTGTTAAAATCTGAATAGGTTGCCACACCGAGCTCGGTTTCATTGAGACCAATTTTAACCGACTTTACTATTGCCTTTATAAAGTCTTTCAGAATCTGATAGTTCATTCTTCCTTGACTATTTATGCTTCTTGAACTGTCCAGCAGAAATCCAATATCGATCTTTGTGAAGTTACAATCTAAAAGTAACACATTTTATCAGTATTCATAAAGTATCTCGATGACGAGTAATTAATACAAATGACATATTTCATATAACAACCACTCGGCTTCTGGTAAAAAGCAAAAAAAGAAAAGAAATTGTACGACAGCCTAAAACGAAGAGGCACTGATGAGCCTCCTTCGTCGAAATTGCTAGAGGTTTGTTCGCCAAACTGCCTTGATACTTCGTCTTGCATCGTGACTGGGATGTGGACGGTGCTTCTTGGCAGTCGTCATGGCGGACACCAATTACATTGTCTCTAAGAAAATCGCTGTTTGGAAGGGTGCAGATTCAAAGTTAAGCTACTCACTTGTAGAGCAGTTGACTCCGTACCGACTATCAGTGCAAAGACATGATGATCCCCCGGGGAAGTTGTGACAAAGCTGGCTATCCGAGCACTGGGTTATGTTCAGGGCACATTCATCCACATCTAATAGAAAACAGTCCAAGTCAATACTTTCTTGTGAATCTTGTAAAGAGCATAACAGCGTTTAAGCGATTTGGCGTGATGATGTGGCGTGGGCGATTTATCCTTGAAAGTATTTATTAAAACGTTGATAGCGGACATATACATATAGTAAACATGGTTCTGAGAATGCACACGTACCGTATTAGCATCCTAAATGTGTGTGACCGTGAAAAGTAGATGTTAATCTTTTTTTTCTGGACATAATGGGACCGAAATGATATGATTAGCTCTACAAATTGCACTCCACTCAGTTCAATTACAATTATAAATCGACTGCAATATGAGATATATAACTCAAACAGTTAACCTGTCCAGCAATCTTTTCCTGTCCATGGTGCTGTACAATTGCAGATAAAGTCACTTGGCTCACTAGTGCAAGTTCCACCATTAGCACAAGGTTTATGAGAGCAATGATCCACCACTATTCAAAGTACAAAGAATAAGAACAATAGCTAAATAAAGAAAAGCATTATAACACATTTCAAGTCTAAAACGTCTAGTTTCTTAACTATCTGACTGAATCGGATTTTTCGGTGAAATCTAAGTTTGTGGTTAAACCACCACGTGTTTCAAACGACGATGTATTAATATGATCTTAGAGAGCTCGTGACATAATATTTACGTCTTAATTTTCAAAGCCAACAGTATAACGCAGTACAAAAGGGTGAAGGGGATAGTGGAGTGGTTTTACTGAACAGGGTACAGAACAAGCGTTAAATTATCCAAGAAAGGTTAAAAAAAAGAGGAGGAAACATGCTGAAGGGTTGATATCTAGTATACCTAAACCTGGCGCAGTGGAAAGACAATAACAAAACGGAAAGAAAGTGTGAGTAATATTAAGCCTAACTTTGATAAGAAATTTTAATACTGCGAAGAATTACCAGGTAAGAGATTTTAGCAAAATCCAACTAGTGGTCTATTCTCAATGCTATGTTCTGATTGGTTGAGCTACTACTAGGCTATATGTTATATCCTACTAGTAGTGGAAAGCGCAAACAATGGCGGCTGAATCTCGTCTTGTTAGCTAAAGTTGTTTTGTCTCGATATTTTTGACCAACTAGTTGGATTTTACTAAAAAAATTATTCCTCTAGCCGAATGGGCTCTGAGTCAATCATCGGCTATTGACTCAGAGCCCATTCTGGCCAGAGGAATAAATGTTAAATGTTACAACCGAAGTGTTGATTGAAGAAAAGCAATATCAGTCCATATTTTCACGTACAAAACATCTTAAAGTTTTCTTTTTCATTTATTGCTCATATGACACGTATTTTATTGACCGTGCCTGCCTTTAACGTCCACATCCAGTGCTCATATTTCACTCGTTTTTACTTACCACTGCAAATTCGCTGTCTCATGCGACCGACGATCCTATCCAAGGTCGTGAAACTTGCCTCAAAAACGTAATCCTCGTCTGGATCCGATGACATATCCTTTAAGTTGAAAATATCGTAGCAGCAACCCACTCCCACACTGATTATCGTCACATTCATATCCCGAAGCCTACTGGAAGGGACTCGAACGTCATCACTGGAGTGTCCATCCGTTACAACAATAACAATGTTTGTAAGATTACTGCGATCACCCAGATTGGCTAGAATCTGACTGCGAACCACATCCAAACCTGCGACGACAGTAATAAGGATAGTGATGATGATGATAATGATGATGATGATGATGATGATGATGATTACCATCATCATCATCATCATCATCAAATGTCAGCTACATTACTGAGGAATGGCCAAGACGCAGATATCGGCCTCAGGGGCCTGACAGGCTCTTCTCTATATCAGCATCTTTTCTATCTAGTATTTTTTTTTGCGATTGGCGTCCACCCTATGGAAAATAAACAAATCAATCAATCAATCAATCGATGAACAACACGCTTATGGTTGTACAAACCTGCTCCTGTTTTTGTACCACCCGCAGGATACGGTACGGCTTGGACTGCTCGTTGAATGTGAGCCTTGTTGTAAAACTCATTTAATGAAAAGATAACTTGGACTCTAGACGCAAAAAGCACGAACGCGACATTAGTGCCATCCCTGCTAATGTCAAACTCCTCTATAATAGATTTTACGAAGTCCTTCGCGCGTTGGAAATTCCCAGACCCCTGCCGTTCAATGCTACCGGACCCATCCACTAGGAACACCAAGTTGAACTTCTGGAATGAACAGACTATAAAGAAGTAATCAAAATACCATAATATGAGAATGATACAATTACAATTTAATGGTAAGGAAAGTACATGTGCAGCCTAAATATTCGTAACGTACAACCTTATTTAAAACTAAACACAGATTTGCAGCCAAAAGACAGGCCTTTTTTTGAAGTCCAAATCACCTATCCTTGATGTTTTTTTTTTTTTAAATTTTTATATTTTAAATAATTAATTCATTTCATTTCTTTGTTTTTTCCTCAATGTAGCTCACAACTAGTAAGGGAGAGGATGTAGATTGCTAAGTGAGTTCAACGTGACAAACGTTCGTGTTATTCAAAATGGCGGCACTGGTAAAGCTGTTGTGAAAGGGTTTTTTAACCATCTTCTTTTTGCGATGCTTCTATTTTGTTTTTGTTTGTTTGTTAGTTTGTTGTTTCTAATATCCGGTGTAACATTTTTTTTCTACACAGCTGGTGTAAAACAAGGGAAAACAAAACGTCCTTAACAATATACTTGACCCTAACAACAGTCCATGAAACAAAGAAAATGAATAAACCGCGGTCACCTTTTGACCTTCCCAAAGAGCGTTCTCCAATTGTTGTCACCTTTAAAAACGGCCATTAAGCGCACGATACATTTAGTTTGGCTTCATGTTAAGAATATGATGAAGGAAAAGACAGTCCCAGATAAAAGGTGACAACCGATTGTGGACCAGTATGTTTCCACTGTCGCGCGTTTGTTTTAAAATAAAGTGATGTTTTTGCTAAAGATTATGCCCTTTTCTGGCGAACCTCTATTGAGCGGCTAAAACTCCATTAAGCGGCCACTTGAAGGTACCCCGAGGGTGGCCGCTTAATAGAGTACTAAAGTGTGACGTCATAAAAATGAAATTTCTGAAAAGTATTTTGAATATTTGAAATTGTCGATTTGCCAAAAATGAGCATTTCGGGGCAAATTGTCACTAAGATCAAAATTTCAAATTCTCATTTGTTGCCCCTATTCGTTTCCTACAGAAGTAATGAGAAGAAGTTGATAAAATATCAAGCAAATTCATCCTGTTTGATCATGTCCGTATTTCTTATGACCACTCGATCTGCTTTACAAAGCATTGATATTACAAGGAGAAATTTGATGCTGATCACTCTTAGGGCTTAAAGGGTTAGTAAGGAGATACAATAGTACATACCTATATCGCATTGCCTTCCGGTAAAACCTGATGTGCAATTACATCTGTAATCACCAAGTAGGTTTTCACAAGATCCTCCATTTTGGCAAGGCTCCGAATAACATTCATCAAAAATATCTTTAAAAAGGAAATAAAATACAGTTTTATGGGCCATATGAAAATAACCAGCCAGTCCGCAGCCCCTCTTCCACCACCCCTTTGTTACGTGATCGTCACAAAACAGCCCGTTAAGGCCATATTTGGACAGTTGGATACGCTCTGCAAATATTTGTCTTAAGGTACTATAATTGCGAGTCCATTATCAGATATCAACTTAATTAACCACAGTGACTTACCTGCCGTGCAATTCTCCCCTCCTATTCCATGTGGACAGGAACAGTTGTAAGAACTATACCTGGTTATGGTACAGTTTCCTCCATTTTTACACGGGTTGGGATAACAGAGGCTTGCCGCTACAACTGAAAATTTAAAGAAAGTACCTATTTAATTGTAAAATCAGATACATAAAACAAAAGAGGGATTTTATCGAGGTATTAATAGCTGGATACAATTTAAAAGCCATGACCCAACGATTATTGGTGTACCTTTGACAAGTAAAGATAAGATGTGTTTGAAAAGATATTTGTGGCTGCATTTTCAATATCGATTTAAACGTTGAAGTTGATGATAATTTAAATGAGCTAATTTTCTGCCGGGCTTCAAAGAATCTAGTAACACCATCTGATAAAAGTGATCGAGGCACTCGGCCAAACCAAATAATGAACACAGCATCCCTAAAACTTGATAGAGAGTCAATTTCACTTATGCCAAAGAACATCAGTTTTTGTTGTTGTTTTTGCAGTTGTTGTTTTTCTTTTCAGTAGACGTTCAAGTTTCCCCTCAATCTGCAAAAATCGGTTGTGCACTTGACTTACGTGGAATGCAATTAAATCCAGCATTAACTCCATATAGACTGACACATCTTTCCCCAGGATTACAGTTAGCTCTGGAGCAAGGATTCGCAACTACAGTGACAGAAAAGGACCATCAATCATATTAAATGAGATTTACAATTAACATTAACACACATTTTATACGGCCGGAAAAAGCTATTTTAAAATAAGAAAGCCAAGATTAGACTGCATTTTCAATCCAAGATGGACACCATTTTAAAAAAAGGGAGTAATTTGTAACGATATTTTCAACTTCATGTGCCAAAACTCCGGCCGGTGGTACGTCAATCAAACGTTTCCTCACAAAAAAATCAATAAATAATAATAAAAAGAGGTTGAACAGTTGATGTTATGTTCCACACCTTGATATATTTTATCCCTTGTAACTGTCACGAATGTCTTTAAATCACCAAACTGCACCGTCAGTATATGATCAGGTTCAGGATCGCTGGCCAAAAGATACAAATCAGCCACGAGATAGTTTGATCCTATTCTCAATGCAATAATATTCACACTGCTGTTCTTCAGTTCAAAGGCAGGTATCCCGAGTTCATCGTTTGACTTCCAGGCCACCAATACGACAATAATGGCTGCCTTGGAAGAATTGAACAACTGTGGTTCTTCTTTTGCTTTGTCCAGTGCTTTTCCCACATTGGTCATGATGCCCATAGTGTAACTAAATGTACGCAGAGTTTGAGCAAAATCAGTAAAATTGGATGAATTGCCCGGTCTGGTCACAAAATGTGCATCGGTTGAATACGCGATGACTCCAATATTCTCATAGAAGAGAGTGGATGCTACGGATATGACAAACTCCAGTTGAAGTACAATATTATCGTGACCATTGTTGCGTGAGGTGTCCACCAGGAAAATAATGGTTGCATCCTTGCTACCGTCTTGAAAGATAAAGCAAAGGAGAAAGAACAAGAAGGAACGGTCACAAGCGTAAACGTGATTAGCCCGGCTGTGATTTGTGATGGTATATAACTCTCCACCTTATCGGGCGAAACATGAAAACATCTTACAATGTACATTAATAAATAACCGCAGAAATGAAGGAAGGATTAAATACATTCATTACAACGCAGAGACACACATTTCTTTGAGGAGAAAATTGTGTTTGTGACGAATCTCTTAAGTCATTCTAAGAAGTGATTTCTTCACGAACAGCAAGGAATACTAAATACCCTCATAAGTTTTTATTGAAGTGCAATGGACGGTCATTCCAAACATGAAGTGTTAGAAATATTTAATATGAATTAGAGAAATGTTATTGCTCGCTTTCTCTTCTTAAACCAGCCACCAATTTGTCAATAATTTACGATTTTTAGCAAAATGGTCTTGTGAAAAATCATGTGACTTACTAACACAATATTTATATTTTAAAATGTTAAGGACGATGAGTTCTTTATGTGTGTATTTTAATTAAGCGGTATCATTTATGCCGGAGTTAAAGTCAATAATTCATTTTCCACAAGTAGACCCCTTAGTCCCAGGCCTTAAACTACTTGAGAGGTTTTTTAATTACCAAATTCTATCTAATCTATTATCAATTACCGATATCTGCCTGTCTAGAGGTAAAAGGATTGTTTTCGCTAAAAGAAATGAAAAAGCGACATTTCACTACCTTTGCTACAATTCTGGCCAAATGTGGTGGCATTTTCGCAAGTGCATTGGTACGCGCCAAAGGTCTCTGTACAATTTCTTCCAGGAGGACAGCTAACACTTGTATTTGAGCATTCTTTTATATCTGTAAACGAAGATACACCAACAGTGAAAGCTCTAAATGAACATTTCCTGACTAAAAGAATTTAGGGAAAGCAATCATTGAGTGAACTAGTGAGTTGGATATCGATAGTGATGTTTTGTCATTTATTGAGTGCAAGATTAAAATGACCTTGACTAATTCAAAGTAAATGTTACTTGCTTTCAAAAACAGACAACAGAAAAGGTTTATTAAAGCCCAGTTAATGATGAATTTGATCAGGGACAGTTTGGTCATTTGATCTCAGAATTGTTCAACGGTTTTCCTTTACCCATATTTAGCTAGACAGCTTAGAAGTAAATTTACAGTTCATCTCGGTTAGTAAATAGGTGACAAAGAATAGCTGAAAGATTACAAGGAAAACTACTGAATAGATGATTGATTACGATCGACGTCATCGTCAACCTCATAGTCATCCTCATCAAAATCCGCATTCAAACTTGCATCCTCATCCGTATCCAAGTCCATTCTTCTTGAGGATGTTGATCCTCATCATCACCCATTTCCTCGTCAGCACCCGCATCCTAATCTACATCTTTACCTTCATCGTTATTTTCATCCTAATCCTTACCCTCATCCTCATCCTTGTCGTTATCCTTGTTTGCATCCTCATCTTCATCATCATTCGTATTCATCCTCATTATTATCCTTATCCTTATCATTAACCTCGTTTGCATCGTTATCTTCATCTTCATCTTCATTCGTATCCAGCCGCATTCAATCCTCACGCTCAATGTCATCAGCATGTTCATCTGCATCTGCAGCTTCATCCTAATCCTTATCCTAATTACATTCATATCATTTCCTTGTCCGTAACTTTATTTTCACCGTTATCCTAATCCTCATCTGCATCCTCATACTCATCCATACGCTCATCCTGATCCTCATCCGCATCACTCTGGCTGCATCCTCATCCTCATCCACACCTTTATCTTCTCCTTCATGCTCAGCCTCATCCTCATTTCTATCCTCATACTCATCCTTATTCACTTCCGCAGCCTCATACGCATCCATACGCTCATCCTGATCCTCATCCTCATTTACACCTTTATCCTCATCTTCATCCTCATCCTCATCCTCATCCACATCCTCGTCCCTCTCCTCATACTCATCCCTACTCATTCCGCATCCTCATACACATCTTCATCATCCTCCTTATGCTGAGAAACAGGTGTCAAGGTCTGTTATTATACAAGACCTGTACATCCTATTTTAGGAGAAATATGCCGTTTATCAAGGAACAGTTTGCGTCTTTTTAGAACACGTCTTATGTAAGACGCGTCTTATTTTTCCTCGTATAAATGGCCCCAATATAACTTACCTTCAGCACATGTTGCGCCTTGCAGTCCCTCTGGGCATAAGCAGGACCCGTCCTTGCAGATTCCTCCAAAGCGACATGGATTATCAGCGCACTTGTCAATAGCTTAGAGTTGATTTATACGCAAAATTAAAAAAAAGAAGAAGAAAAAGGAATAATTAGGTTGTGAATCATTCGAGAAAAAGTCTTGCGTCTGAATTATCTGCAAGTGTACACAAACAGAATTGAAAACAAACCTGTACTGGTTGTTGCAGTCAATAAGCCATTTCCGAGTTTCCCCGGGCCTCTGTATGAAAACGAAGTTAAGTGCTCAGGCTTTGATATGAAAATAATTTTTCATTCTCATACAAATAAAACTCATTTTCACGAGAAAGGTGCACTTGGCCTCATTTTGAAAGTGAGGGTTTTTGGGACTCGGAAGTGACCTTTCTTTACGTTCAGCAGTCTTTCTCCTATGAGCTCAGTGACCAGGCTTACCTGGTTAGCCCAAAGATTACAAACACATTTCGATATATTCTCGTCGCTCATTATTTTTTTCCGATCTAACATCTAATTACCTAAGCACATGGCCTCTCTTAAGACGGTAGTGATCATTTCGAGGTTATTCACATCAGCGGTGAAAACATGATTTGTCTCTCCAAGAGCAATTTGGTCAAGCTCGTATCTACTGTAGCCATCACCAATTCCAAGAACAAAAGAGGTCACATTAGTATCAGCTAAGAGTGTTGTAGGCACCGTGATGTCATCTGTGGACGTACCGTCCGTGATAACCAGCAAAATCTTAGAAGCACTTGGCCGGACAATGCTACTGTTGAAAAGACCGGTTATTGACTTATTTAAAGCCAATCCTATGTTTGTTAGACCACCAGGGTACATTAGATTGTCAATTGCCTCTGCTACATCGCTGACATTTGAGTACTGGTCAAGAGTAATATCTAAGGATGCATTCGTCGAATAAATGATGACTCCCACACGTGTTCCACTACTTGAAACATTAAATGAGCGAGTGAGGTTCTTCAAAAAATTCCTGATAGTGGAAAAGTTGGATTGGGCGCTATCTGAGCCGTCGAGAACAAGTCCCAGTTCAATCTTGCTAAACGTACAGTCTGTAAAAGGAATTGGAGGAGACACATGATATTAACACTCATTGCCCAGTTTCATAGGCTTTAAGTCCGTATATTATGTGATTATCGGCACACAGTTAAAAAAACACAGGATCTCGCAAAATCCTCAAGTTTAATGTTTATCGGGCCCATACAGCCTTTCCAAAATCTCGAAAATGTTCCAAGAAATGTACGACAGGACAACTGTCCGGAAATCCGTATTTTTTAAATTCAAGTTTTCGAATTGCTGTCGCTCAATATTGTTCCGATAAATAACAAAACGTGAGGATTTGTTTAACTCTTCTTATGCTTCTTCCAAAAAAAGGGTTTTCAATTGTTACCTGTGGTGACAGCCACATCATGTGGAGTTCCTTGCAGGCTTTCAATTAATTTTTCAACCATGGCAAAATACTATAACACAAAAAAACCTAAAGAGACACTAAGCGAACCCCCCACCCCCTCCTTTACGGCGACCCTACATTCCACCGATGTTGTGGTATGGATGTCTACAATCATGGACAAAAGTCTTGGGACAGTTCTACAGTTCGAACGCTTTTTAACACGCGAAATTGTACCCTCGCGCTACTAGCACTGCACGTCCCTACCCCCTCCCCAACCCCACAGACAGTGTTGATACCGTCAAGGCACAATTCCTTTGATCTTTCAACATTATATTGGGTGGGGAGGGTGAAGGGGACATGGATTTGTAAAAAGACAGCACTGCTTTTTGGCGACAGAACTTGTGAAACGCATAGAATTGAAGTTGCGTCCCGACTGTCCCAAGGACTTTTGTCAACTGAGGATTAACTTTTGACGCTGATAATTGCTAATTGATAATTTGTCGTTGGGTACTTTTCTTTCAAAAGATTTCTCCTTTACCATTCGGGTCATGTGACGTCATATGGCAGCACATCAAGTTTTAACGTATTTTCAAAATTGAAAATCGTACTATAAAAGCCAAGAACGTTATTACACAAAAGACAAAGTCACATACCAAAATGGCAGTTTTTACCATAGTAACCACGTTTGCAGACGCAGTGGTAGCTTCCAAACGAGTTAACACAAGTTCCTCCGTTTTGACAGGGGCTGTTGAAACATTCGTCAAAATCTACAACATTAATAACAGGGCAAACAGTAATGTTTTATTTGTCTGTGTGTTTGTTTATTGTAGTTTTTTTGTGAAGCCTTTGAGGAATACAAAACTATTGCAGATCTCAGTCACAGGCCCATTTCAATTGACCATTGCCTTCCCAAAGTCTTCTGTTGTCGTCTGAACATGATTGTTTTTGCTCAAAACTAATAGCATTGTTGGATACGAAATGATTGCATATCCACATTCAAATTGTTACAACACAATTAGTCCAAACGGCCAATCCAGCAACAGTGAAACCTGTACTTAGCAGACAGAAGATTGTAATAGGCCCACAATCTTCTGTCGCATTTCCGGTAAAATAAAACAACATTTAGCAAAAGCTGGCGGCGCGGATCTCATAGGTTTCCGCTTCATACAGGTTCCACTTTAAATATTTCATCCTAGATTGTTATAAGACTACGAACCGTCAAATGATAAAGCAAAAGTGCGAGGAAATGATTCAACGCCATTTACGATGTTCAAGGTCAAGCGAATCTTTTTTATTACTATTCTTTTCATACGCGAAGCCAAAAAATGCGTTCGTTGTTCGATGTTCGATGTGTGTTCGATGACTTGCTCTACTTCAAGGCCGTTGACAGTGTTAATACTCTACTAGATAGCTTTTTGCGTCGGCATGAAAAGCTCTCTGATATTGTTTGATCATAGCCGAGTAAGCAAATCGCAAGATCGATTTTTCTTGGGCTACTGTATATTTTGAGGACCTTCTGACCCTGTTTGTTGTCGTTGTTGTTGTTTCGTGTGTAAAGCCTCCATGATTTCGTAGACTAGAGTTTGATTTCGCTTTGATACATTTCTAATCGGTGATGCTTGGATTACACTTGTTGAAATGCTCAAAAGCTGTTTCACACGAGTAATTAAGGCGCGTTGTCGTAGCTAACCTGTCGTATCATCAGCTATTGCGCAGTCTTGTAACATACCTTCAGTACAGTTTTGTCCTATTAATCCTAATGGACATGCGCAGGTGTATGAACCATCGTTGGTAAGGGTGCAGTTGCCTCCATTTCTGCATGGGTCTGGACTGCATGCCGTGACAGCTGGAAGGGAAAAGATGACTTAACCTCTATTTGAATGTACAGTCGACTCCCGTTAATTCGAACGTTCAAGAAAAATAGAAAAAACTGAGTTCGATTTATCGGGAGTTCGAGTTATCGAGGGTAAAATTGTATAGAAAATGATTTGAAGGGAAAGAAAATTGCTTCGAGTTAGCGGGAGGTTCGATTTATAGAGTGTTCGAGTTACCGGGAGTCGACTGTACCTCCATCGTTCAGCAAACTCATCAGTATGGATCGTCCGTCTCCCAACAGATCGAAAGATAGAGGTACAACTCTCCGTTAAAATCTTACTCATTTGGTCGAGACAGCAGCAAAACCGCAGAAAGTTTTAAAAATAGTGCAACTTTTTTAATTTTAACAAATATGTTTCGACGGTACATCCGTTATTATGAGTGTGACAGTTATGAAAGTTTACAGCGGATAAAACGGGCCTGTTACAATGTATATTATACGTTACATTACGTTGGAAAACAATACGCTGCATAAATTTAATCATTTGCATCCTACAAAAGGCTATATTGTACATATACGGTGCAACCCCGGTACTTCAAACTTGAAGGGAAAGGAAACAGTTTGAGTTTGCGGGCCTTCGAGTTATTTGGGTTGAATGCATATTCAATTTGCCTTTTAACTATTAAAAGTTTACTGCTTTTTTCAATTTTCAGCAGTTCAGTACTTAAGTGCAGTGCAAATGAAATCTTTCTTAACAGAAACAATAAAACGATCATGCATTCTTATTCCGATGATCAGGTGTACCTCATAAGATAGAGAAGTGACTGCCAAATACGTGATCTGTTCTTTGAATAATTAAAATTAGTTGTCTACGTTTTAGTGTTTTTACCGATTACAAGAAAAGACGAGCTAATGGGATTGCATCTTTAGAGAGTAGTAAGAGCCAGAATTCAAGGTAATTTTAACCATGGTAAATAAATTTAGTTCGAATAAGCGAGGAATTAGAGTTAGCCGAGTAAAACTGGCTGAAGAGAAATGGGACTTCTCAGGGAATGAGAGTTTTTCGAGTTTGAGTTACCGGGTTCCACTGTAATAAACTCTTTTTAAGTTTTGCAAACGGCTTTTTGAACGTAGAATTTAAAGTCTGTATCGTTAATTTACTTACATGGTACGCATGTTGTTCCTCCAGTATTTCCAAACAAATTCTTACAATCATATCCTGGTATACAATTGGATTGGTAAGAGCATGGATTTGCAGCTGTAAAAGAAAAGTAAAAACCATTCAAAAAAGTTTGCTTCACAGCGGGAAAAGAAATGATGATTATACAATAGTTGACCAGACAACCCTCTATTGTAGCAACACGCAAAATGGCGGGACAATCATATTGCACAGGATGACAAATTAAAAAAAAACAACAACAACAACCATCTCATTTATAAGGCGAGTTACATTGGACGGCGTGGAAATTGTGCTGTGTACCGACTTCGATCTTCCCAGGGCCACAAACGGCTAGAATTAAAAATTTTGTGGCACTTTACGGCAGTGTCTGGGCAATGTAATTAGCCTTCACGTACGCGTTTTGTTAAATTCCCATACTTTCTAAACAACATGTGGTTTTGATATGTGATCCAAAACACGTGTGGTTTTTCATTGGGTATCAAAACGCATGCACGTGACGAATTTAGCCATTTTTTCTTGGCTATTAAACTTATGAATTATTAATGAGATTTAGAATTATGCTTGCAAACCTCTACAGATTAGGTCCCTTGCACTTTCTACCATATTTTGCAAATCCAAGTATGTTGTACTTGAAGATATTAGAAGGTGGTCGGCACTTGGGCTGGTTACTAGATCTGCTATGTATCCAGTTGAAGTTGTATGAAGGGCGAAACCAATAATGGTAACCTTGCGGCTTTTTAGTTCACTGACAATTGTCATTGGGTCTTCACTTGAACCCCAGGGAGGAGAAAGTACACCAATGACGGCAGATTTTGAGGCTGAAAACAACTGAGACTCCTCGTTTGCTTTAGTAAATGCCTTCTTCAGATTCGATCTGCAGCCCATGACATAATTGAATGTCCGTAAGGTATGGGCAAATTGAGTCATATTTGCTGAGTGGCCTGGTCGTACCACAAAATGAGCATCGGTAGAATATGCTATCACGCCTATGTTTTGATAAGCCATGGTCGAGGCCACCGAAATGATGAATTCTACTTGCAGTCTTACGTTCTCTCTTCCAGTGGCGCTTGAAGTTTCCATTATGAAAAGAATGGTCGATTCCTTGCTGCAGTCTAAAGAAAGGGGGAAGCAACTGGGTTTGAACTATTATGAAAAATATTTGAACATTCTAATTTTAAATTGTATCAGCTAAATCTTTTTAATGACAATAAGATCAAGATCACTGTATCACTGGTGACAATTTTAGGCTATTGATATCATGGAAAACAAGTCTTTTTGCAGCCTACTCGCGTAGTTAGTGATCGTTTTGAGGTCGGTTCATGAGGCTGGTTCAGTGTTGTGTAAAATGGCACTTTATCGTTTCTTCTACTGGCTATTACAAAGCAGAAGACTGTATAAAAATTCTCTCCCAAAACAGTCCCAGTTTCCTTTAAAAAACAGTCTCATACTGAAGCCTCGAAATCACCAATATGCGACTGAACAAGCGACAAACATTCCGCATGGCACAGAATCGTCAACCCACAATATTACCTCTCGATATTTTTAACATTTATTCCCTCGACTTCTACCAAGCCTTTAATTATGAAGTACAAAGTAAACTTGCAGTAGCCCTCCAAGACACATGC